TTGGGGTTTGGGGTGGGCTATAGGAGTTCTCTCACTGATGCACAGCCAACGACCACAAGCGTGCTCTGCGGTGCGTTTAAGGCTGGGGGTATGGGAAGGAGGGGGGGTGGGTGTCAGTCCTGGTTTTACTGGGTATGTGAGTAAATGCGTACGCGTTACTAAAAACTAGCTAGAACCTGCTTCTTGGTGGTGTTAGTGCATGGAGGCAGAGGGAACACGGAAGCTTTTCTTGCCAGATTGTGTTGAAGCCAAGGAGAACTCCTTTATTTGTATCTAATTTGTTTTTGGTATAGCTGGGACAGCTTTACAAAATAAATACCTGGCTTTCTCTGCTCTCCCAGACATGGAGACCGTGGCTGCTAGCACATCGCTTCCCGACCCAGCCGGCGAGTTCGACAAGAATGTGCCCCGTATCTGCGGCGTCTGTGGGGACAGAGCCACTGGCTTCCACTTCAACGCCATGACCTGCGAAGGCTGCAAGGGCTTCTTCAGGTGAGTGAGGGGCTTCGGGGAGGAGGGATCTTGCTCCGTAACCAGCAAGCCTCGAGGAGCAGGCGATCTGATCCTCAGGGTGCTGCCCGGCTGCCGTTCCAGTTACCTGCGTCCCTGCAAAGCTGGGCTGCGGACGGCCTTGCTGGAGCTGTGCCCGCGTTGCGGACAGCCGACACGCCTGCAAATCTTGATAATGGAGAGATCCCAAAACTGTTTCCCTTCTTGTGGCTTACCGTGGCACCCCGCTACTGGGAAATAAGTTGTTTTCCCCCTTAGCCGGAGATTTCCATCTGTCTGGGAGCCTCGCAGGCCTCCACGTGCTGTATAGGCGGGAGCGTAAGAGCCTCTGGCACACTATGGACGGCACCTGAGGAAAAATACACCTGAAACTAGCAGTCTTTGAAAACTAAACTGGTACGATGGCCACAAACTTCTCTTCTTGAAAGCCAGCTGCCTCTAATGTCGGCTCTGAAGCTCTGTACGCTTACGTATGGAGATGCACGGGGTCCTCTGCCCGCCCGCTGGAGCGGGCACCAAGCTCTTCCCAAAAAACCAGGCAGCCTTTCACTCACAACTCCGGCTCTCGGGGGGTTTAAAGTAGCCGTAGGCTGTATATGCGGCTGTGTTGAGGCTTTTTTCCCCACTGTCAGGTGGGGGGGGGTCTTGAATGGCCTCAAGCTGGTCCTCAGCAGGGCAGAAACGGCTCTGAAAGCTGCCGGGGTCTCCGACTGCAGGTTTTTTGTGGGTATTTGTTAGCGGGTCGGGTTTTCCCCCCCCCCCCGCGTCTGTCGCGG